GCGAGTGTTGATAATTGATCCAAGAAGAATAAAGTGCTTGACAACTTCAATCTTTTCTCCATTGATAAGAATGGAGAAATCCTGGCCCAAATCCTAGCACCATGGATCCTGGAAGTGGGGATAAGGACAAAAACCCATTAGCTAAATGGAGTTTCTCTGGACTGAGACCCCTGCAGAAATCTGATTCAGGAGGTTTTGCCACCCAGGCCTACAGAGGAGCCCAGAAGCCCTATCCAGTGGAAAGGATCTGTGTGCAGGCCACCCGGATGGCTGGGGATCCAGCAGCCTTTAAGCCACCCAAGAAGGACATCCCAGTGATAGAAGGAAAGAAACAAGCACCCGGGACCCATAACCTCAAACCCTGAGATTTGAATGTGCTCACGCCCACTGGTTTCTAGAGCTCTTTCTGTTCTAGGTTCGAGTCCCCCATACCCCTATTACCTTGACTCTGACATGGGAAAGGTATAACTTTTTTAAAAACCAACAAAAAACCGTTAAACCAAGGCTAGAGTTAGCGACATCACTGGCTTTTGAGAAACATTAGTGCAAAGCTTGTCCTTATTGTCTGGAAGAAGCCATTTGTACAGCTTTAATTTAGACTAAATAATTCATCTTAGCAGTGATATGGGAGACCTCATGACCTATTTTGTATCATTTCCTCCTGGTAAGAGCTTTGATCATGACGTTCTAGGTAAATAATGTTTGTGCAGTTCCCAAACCCAGACTTCATAATTGTTAGACCACTATCGATGTGAGCAATTCATAACGTAGAGGTGTCCACTAATGAGCCTAAACAACCTGGGTTCTTCTCACTTCTGGACACTGGGCTGGTACTGTGTTCTGGCTTGACTGGTTAGGAGGACTAAGATCTGTCTGAGATCTGAGTACAAATAAAAGCCAGACTTGTGCTGAAACTGACCTCTCCTTGCCTTCCTGGTGGACCTACTAGATCACCTTGTCCAGCAGCCAGTGCTGTCGGAGGAATGCTTCTCTTGTATGTTTCACACAAAGCAAACACTAGTCTTGCAAATCCTTTCTTGCACTTAAAAAACTTCATAAGGGAGAAAATTTTAGTGTGGAGGTTTAATGAATAGTAACTACAGCCAGATAATAGCTTTGAGGCTCATGAAAAACTACTACTATCACTTCTTTTTTTTTTTTATTTCCTTGTTCAGTCCAGGGTTGGACACCTTTTTTTCCTCCCATCAGGGCATGGAAGAAATGAACATTTTCTATAAGAAAGCATTTCCTCCCCCAAAGCCTTGTATACACAACCATAACTTACCCAGGAAAGGAAATCAGGAAACTGCCTTTTTATTGCTCTCCTCTGTCTACATGTTCAATCACTGTCTTGAGCTTTGTCTCAAATACCTGCTGATTTTGGATTGGATATTATGTACAGAAGGAGTTGACCTTTCCATAGAAAGATCCTGGAGTCTAGAATTATCTGAACAATTAATTTATTTGTGTCTTCTGTTGCGCTAGTACCTTGTTTTGACAATAAAACTCCTTACTACTTTCTCAAGAAAAAAAAAGAATACGCAAGCTGTTTGCCAGGAAGCCATCAAAGCAAGCAATCAAGTGCCTTCAGGACAAACTCCCCTCAAAGACTGAAACTCAAAGGGAATACACAAACAAGCACATAAGCTTGCTGGCGACCACATTGGTCTACTGGTAAGGGGAAGAGGCGGAAAGGCAGCCATGAAGAAATGGGCTGAGTTCAACCCCAGTCCATTGAATCCCATTGACCTGGAGATGATAGAGAGAAGAGGAAGGGCTGGTTGGTCCAAAGTGTGGT